CATAAACAAATGCAAAAATCAAATGACAAACAAAAACAACAACCCCCCCCCAACAAAACAGAATAGCAGAGCAGGAATCCTAACTTAGCCACTTTTTAGTCTTGATTTCAAGATGTTTAACCAATCCTTGCAGTTCTAAAAGTCATGATAGAAATGATTGCCACACTCATATAGAATGAATAGGACCAAAAAAAAAATGGGTAAAAGTAAACAATATAGTGGATAAAAATGAGGGGCCATTTCATATGGGATAGAATAGAATGGAGGTCAGTTAAGTGATCCAAGCTATTTGACCTTCATGTTGAAGGTTAGAATAAAAGTCACCCCAAGACAGACACAGGATAAAATAAAAGTTTCTTATCACATGCCAAGACCAAATGCATAAGTCAGCACAGAAAGGACCCATAAATAGGCCCAAGGGAAAAGGACATTCATATTTACTTTGTTTACCACCATTACTCAGTTCATTCATTGAGCATGACAGGAATTTTCTTATTATTACTTGCATTGCTGCCTTCTTTCATGAGGGACATGCGGCTTGATCAGAAGGGAACTTCCCCTTCCTAATTTGTTTCTACTAACTAGGCCTCCTGAGCGAAGTCTGAGGGTCCTCACCCCTGGGCTCCACAGGCATCTGTGGTGGCACTCCATATAAAGTGCCATCTGTGTGGTGCGTGCCCAGAGGAACAAAGAGGTTAATTCTCTCCTTTTGCAACTGTGACTCCCATCCTCCCCCAGTTCCTCTAAGTGTTTCCTTTTAAAGAAAAGCCATGGTTCACTGCTACTGAAAATTAAAGACAACAGCATAAAGATCAAGGTCCAGGCTGGTACCAGCAATGACAGAACATTAAAATCGTTACTTGAATTTCTCTTTCCTTGAAAACTGACAAAGACTACTGAAGGAAAGGCAACTGTAATTCAGATTGATTTCATAAATGTGTGTGTGTGTGTGTGTGTGTGTGTGTGTGTGTGTGTGTATTTACCAAAACTGGTATATGGAGTGGCCAATGGTTGATACTGAGATATCATCCTCCATCACTTTTGTTCTCTACCTTATTCTTTGAGACAGGGTTTCTCATTGAACCTCACTGTTTAACCTAGATTGCCAGGGCAGGAAGCCTTCTGGATCTTTGTATTTCTAGTGTCAGTGAAAGGATTATAGTACAGACGACCACATCTGGTCATTACACGGGTGCTGGGGATCTGAATTTAGGTTTTCAAGCTTGGCTCCAACTCCAAGCACTTTACCAACTTTCCAATCCCATTTCAGAATCTTTCTAGTTGTATCTCTTCATTCATAAATTATTTTGGCTGAAATGAACAAATTCGAGGTGATCTTCAGTTTTGATGAAGTGAGCGGCAGTAATGGTTGTATGATTTCCTCCCTCTCATGTCACATGGAGTACCAGAAAACAGGAGAGGTTGTTGTTTTTTCTTTTTCTCTTTTTTCATTCTTTCTTCTTTTCTTTCTCTCCCTTTCTCTCTCTCTCTCTCTCTCTCTCTCTCTCTCTCTCTCTTTCCTTCTTTCTTTTTTTGTAAAGTTTACTTTATAAGATCGAAGAGAGAAGGAATAACCAACCAACTAGCTCATCCTTCTTTTACAGACTATACTTCTAGCTTCTCTAAGTGAACCAGGTTGCCTCCTTTCTTCCTCTCTTCAGTTACAGATTTGCTTTGGCAAACAGAATCTTACTCTGCACACCCTGGTCTTCCTTCTCAATTTCGAAATCATGTTTTCAATACTTATCTTTTCTGACACCAGACTAGGTGGCCAGGGTTCCACTCCTAACTTCATGTTAGCTTGCCATTTTCTGGTTTCCCCTGGAGGAATATCTAGCTTCTAGAATTGAGGACATATTACCTTGATAAGATGGACTCAATCTCCTACCCTACACAAACATGCTGACCATCAGCAGGGTTCTCAAGACATGCAGAGCAATGATTTTCAGCTATCCAACAATGAAGAAGCCATGAGGTAACATAAATCTGTGATTACCTCGTAAGAAAACTTGGTAAAGAACATGGTGGCCACTTTACTGTTTGGTAAATGAAGCTTTCTCTCAAAACAAGCAAAGAGAAAAGACAAGAAAACAATGGAAGGCAAGCATATTTCTCCCTCATTTTAATATCTTGGGCCCTTAGGAGCATGGAGTGGAAATTTGTGAAAACAAACAAACAAACAAAACAAAAAACAAAACAAAACAAAAAAAACCCAGCCATATCAGCTTGCTCTGGTGACTCAAAAGTTGTCGCTTCTCAACTCAACTTTGCTGAAACACTTGATTCATGTTGTTCTTATTTAACCTAATTTGCATTGATTTAATCAGTGCTGGTATGCTTTAAATACATAATAAATTGGAATTCTGCAACTCAGAAGACTTAGAATAGCTAAATTTCAATAAAGCTCATTTCAATCTGTTAATGTATACAGCTCTGCCAAGGGATTTAAGAGGATAGAAAAGATGCAACTTGCCACATTAGAGGTGAGAAGGGCTTAAAGATACCATGCAGACTAAATGATTTGCAGGATAACAACATATATATATGTCATATATATATGTCATAATTACAGCCTAGGAGCATCTTCTACACGTTGAGTGGCATACTTAGAAAAAAACTCACATATAAATGCAGTATGTTTAATTTTATTCTCTTTCTTTTTTGCCAACACTCAACTCTTCTCTGCCTCTCTGTACCAGCTCTACAAATCAAGTGACATCCAAAGTAGGACCTCTTCTTGCCCATTTGGCAGCCTCTCTCATCCTTCTGCCAAGCTGCATGCATTATAAGGATTTTCTTCCTAGCAGCCATGGGGATTGGGTGCCTTATGCTCAAAGTACTTGCTGAATGGCTGGCCACTGTTTACCCCTGCCTAAGCCTGCCCAGCCTTGCTCCTCCAACCCTTTAGAGTTTATGGCTCAATCAGTCGGCATGCTGTCAGGAATAATTGTTTTGGCAAGGGGTAAAACCACTTGATGATGAAATTGTCTCTCTGTCTGTTAAAGTGTTCTGCAGCAACGCAGAAGTGCCAAGTGCCGAGTCCAGAGTTAGGTGGGAGGCAGGGTGAGGACAGCTGATCATCCAGACTGGCAAAGAAAGAACACAGCTCTGAGGAAGAACAACAAAGATCTATCTGTGACAGTAAGGTGTACGACCTTGAATAATCCCCAGATGTCTCTGGCCTCAGTTTCGTCATGTGCAAAATGGAGAATGATTTTCTCATGTCTCCTGTAGCTCCTAAGACAGCATGTGATTGTCTAGGGCATTTCAGATTTGTGTTCTTTTCAATTAAATGATGCATCTTGGAGATGAATGACCAGGGCAGAGCTCAGAGGAATACAGAATGGGATGATTCATATGACTTTTCCTGAAAAGTGCCACCTGTCTTCAGTGACCTTAATTCTACCAATTTATCTTTTCAACTTTGTTGTTAAGGGCCAATCTAGTGCCTTTACCAATCTACCCAACCCATGCGATCTTCCAGCTCAGCATCATTCCGAGCAACATAGTAGTGACAGATGTGCCCACTTACTTGGAGTTTATTAGAAGCAGAAATGATGTAGGTGTGAGGACACTAGTCCACTTCAACCCTTGACTCCTCCTGACACTGGCTTACTTAGCCATCTTTGAAGATTTTGATCTCTTTTTCTTTTTAAAAACAGATGGTCAATAAGTCTGTGGCAATAGGGTAGATCTGTTACAGTTGTGACTGGAGGGGTACTTATTCACTATATAGACTACTGTCTATAAAGGATTGAAGGTAGAAAATCCAGTGGAGGCTTTTCCTGGTATTTAAAAAAAAAAAGTAGCATTACTCAGTACTGTAGCAAAAACTGAATTAGGGGTGAGTGGACCAGCAAAAGGCTTCCTTTTCCTTTAAAATACCTCTTCTCTATATATCTTTTAGTACATTCTCCAGGGCTTAGATGTAATTACCATGAACAGCATATGTCAGTGTTAGGCTCTCCCATGTCATACAACAGCATCTTTATCCTTGAATGCAGTGTGGTCCATGTAGAGTGTAGAGTGGGTGAGCCCCAGTAGGATCTTCAGCAGTCTCTGTGTACATAGAGTGAAATTGCCATGCTGCAACCCTCTCATCAGGACCCAGGCGGCTTTTCCCACACAGTGGCCTTGGAAAGCATTTCCTAGGCAAACCCTGAAAATGGCCCAGCTCCATGTGGAAGGGTAGTTAGTGCTACTGTTAGCAGAGGAGAGGAGAAGAGAGGGGAGAGGAGGGAAGGGGAGGGGAGGGAACG